AACCAAATTACAATAGAATCATCTGTTTTCGTCTATCTCTTTATCCCATCTTCTAGTTAAATAAGTTAAAAAAGTAAGGAGAATGACAAAAGTATCGCTAGTAACGCTATACTCATTGTGTAAACACATCTAAGCATAAAAAGCTGAATGAGAAACAGTTAAACATATTATGAATGTAAACAATATTCATTGTTTGTATTTCATCATACAATACTAATATGTGAATATTACATGCATTATTATTGGATACAGTTAGATAAAACATCAGTTTTATCAAAATCATGATTATTTTAAATAAAGCTGTACTTTTCTACTGCAGTAAATGGATATATATAATGTGGTCAATGGCATAAACAGGGCCAGCAGTACATACACTAATTTTATATCTTGTGTATGATGTGACCCCCTTAAAATTAGCTTCAAAATAAGGTCTTCAATAATCGCATGATATACAAGTATATATACTATATTTATTATTTGTACAGTGTCTAAGAAATCTGCATTTAGCACAGTGGTTAAGATAATGTTATGAATAATGGGAATATTAGCCGTTTCCTTATAAAGAAACATTCAGCATAGATTGACTGAGCAGCCAGTGCTACCATCAGGTGAAATTTGTAAAATCATTCCCTTAAAACAATTTTTCAGGAAAATAGGTTTCTTAAGTCCAATAACTGTTATTGCTCTTTCCAGTATTGATATGGATTTCCTTCCAAACCTTTTGTTTGAAATAGTGTGGAATATCAACATCTTGATTGTGTCATTATTTTCTCTTTGCCAATGAAACAGGATAGGTATGTCAGGTTCAAATTCCAGCTCAATCTGTTGCATTTGCTGTCACACAAATACCCTTGGAAAGGTATGTATTCATCTCTTATCCCTCATTACCACCACCACCACCACCATCAAACTAGAGATTAAAACAGTGCCGACTGCCTTCACCTCTATCATTGATTGGCAACCAAGCTAAAAGAGTAAACAGTCTAAATTAAAAACACAGCAAATTCTAGCATAGTGAGACTGTGACCCTGTACTCAACAGGAGAGTCTGCAGCGTTACCTTAAATACAATGTCTAAACAAGCAACAATATCAAACATTTCCAAAAGCATCTGAGCCTTAGGATCAAAAGCAATAAATATAACATAAAACAAAAACTAGTAAATATTAATGAATATTTTAAACCTTATCCAAGCATTATTCATGATGTAACAGTAAGAGATAGATCAAGTATCGACTGAAAAATAAAACTGATAAAGATTATTGTCTAAGGTTGATGGACACGCATGTCTTAATTAGTTTCTTTTTATTTTGTTTTGTTTTCTTGTTTTTTTTTGAAAAATTGGTCAAACCCAAACTCAAACAAAAACATTGTTTTCAATCGTTATGAGTCTACTGATTGAATAGAATTTTATTATAAACAATTGCCTTGTAAATGGAATTTTTAAAGCATTCTGAATGAAAAAATAAAGAAAAAAGTGTGCAAGACAATAAGAAACACTACCTGCCAAAAAAAGGAAGTTTTGTTGAAATCGGTTGAAAAATGTAGGAAATCCGATCCCATATATAAGCAAACACACACACACACACACACACACACACACACACACACACACACACACAACCTGGGTTTTATAATAACTCGATATGAGTTGTCCCCCTTTCATTCTGGCACAGTGATGTCTCTTAATCATGTTTTCAAATTGATTTCGTGCAAAAACAATTGTGTTTTTCCAATTTTTGGCACTGTCAGAACCACTGCAAGCTAATTTTACATAGTCCTGTGAAGTTTTGTTGAAATCGGTTGAAAAATGTAAGAAATTCGATCCAATATATAAACGAACAGACACACACACACAACCTGGGTTTTATAATAAGTATGATTAGCTGAAATATTAAATTAAATTTTATATCTTTAACAGCATTGGAACTGCAAAAGATGCCTTTCTGAAATTAAGCAAAACCTGATCTAATCTCTTCAGGAATAGTAAATCTACTGAAATATTAACTTTAATTTTTTGAATTTTTAGTAGCAATAGGACAGCAGAAGATACTTTTCTAAAACTAAGCAAAATCTCATCTAATCTCTTCAGGAATGACAAATTAACTGAAAAATTAAAATATATTTTATATTTTTAATAGCATTGGAACAGCAAAATCTGCCATTCTGAAAATAAGCAAAACCTTTTCTAATCTCTTCAGGAACATCAAATGAGTTGAAATATTAAATTTAAAATTTTATATTTTAATACTATTGGAACAATAAAAGGTGCCTTTCTGAAACTAAGTGAAACCTCATCTAATCTCTTCAGAAATAACAAACTAACTGAAAAATTAAATTAAATTTTATATTTTTAATAGTACTGGAACAGCAACAGTTGCCTTTCTGAAACTAAGTAATGCCATTGTTCAGGCAAAAATCAAGAGCCATTAAAAAAATTAGATTTTAATAATTTTCAACTGAAATTTTATTTTTTTTTATTCATTTTTTGTTTTAGTGTCATAGTTTTTTATTTTACTTTTTTAATGAAACAGTTATAGAACAAATCAAGCATTCAGCTACTTAATTCAAATCATATTTTGTCTTGCTAATGTAGATTTTGTGCTCATGAAATAAAATGGTGTCAGTTCATCAGCAACACATATCAAAGTAGATGCTCTTCCCAAATTGTCTTATATATTTATTATTCCATTGTATCTATATTCAAAGGAAAGAAAGATGCTTTCCCAGAAAATTCATATACAAATTCTTGACCTTGAGCAGAACTTGGGAACCACCCAATCAATATACTTTTACATTACATTTTGTACATGAGCACTACAGATTTTACAAGTATACTTGATTGCATTAAGATCAGTATGATTATTCTGCATCAGCATTCTTATAGTCTGCCTCATGGCTAAGATTATTGAAAACTTTTCACTGACACTGGAGGTCAGTGTTCAATCTTAGCTAAAAGCTGGGATTTTCAATGCAGATTTTCAAGAAAAAGAAGCCCTACTCATTTGGCAGGTTTTTAGAAGCACAATATTTGTTCTAGCATTATGGCTTTGTGCTGCAAGGTAAGCTTGACATATACTGAGATTCTAACAGTTGGGTCGGGGTCTGCTTTGGATTTCTGCCAGCAAATTCAATATTCATGTCCTGCCCTTTACTTACGAGTCAAATATTGACTACTGATTAGCAAAGTAAAGCTAGTGGTGGAACACCTACTATGCATGTCAAATCAGTACAAGTAGATATAAACAGAATGGGATAGATAGATAGATAGAGATAGATAGATAGATAGATAGATAGATAGATAGATAGATAGATAGATAGATAGATAGATAGATAGATACCAACTTAAATTTATGGATAGATATAGAGGGATTGAGAGAGAATGAGAGATAAAGAGATTAATCAGTATAAACAGATGCAAATAGAAAGTGATTGATTGATTGAGATAAATATGTATAGACTCAGATTGATCACTAGATATGAAGTGACTTAGATAGATAGATAGATAGATAGATAGATAGATAGATAGATAGATAGATAGATATGAAACAATTGATACAAACAAGTACAAAGATTAGATTAGATAGATAGATAGATAGATATAGATAGATAGATAGATAGATATGATAGAAAAACAATTGATACAAACAAGTACAAAGATTAGATTAGATAGATAGATAGATAGATAGATAGATATGAAACAATTGATACAAACAAGTACAAAGATTAGATAGATAGATAGATAGATAGATAGATAGATAGATAGATAGATAGATATGAAACAATTGATACAAACAAGTACAAAAGATTAGATAGATAGATAGATAGATAGATAGATAGATAGATAGATAGATAGATATGAAACAATTGATACAAACAAGTACAAAGATTAGATTAGATAGATAGATAGATAGATAGATAGATATGAAACAATTGATACAAACAAGTACAAAGATTAGATAGATAGATAGATAGATAGATAGATAGATAGATAGATAGATAGATAGATAGATATGAAACAATTGATACAAACAAGTACAAAGATTAGATAGATAGATAGATAGATAGATAGATAGATAGATAGATAGATAGATGAATATGAAACAATTGATACAAACAAGTACAAAAGATTAGATTAGATAGATAGATAGATAGATAGATAGATATGAAACAATTGATACAAACAAGTACAAAGATTAGATAGATAGATAGATAGATAGATAGATAGATAGATATGAAACAATTGATGCAAACAAGTACAAAGATTAAATTAGATAGATAGATAGATAGATAGATAGATAGATAGATAGATAGATATGAAACAATTGATACAAACAAGTACAAAGATTAGATTAGATAGATAGATAGATAGATAGATATGAAACAATTGATACAAACAAGTACAAAGATTAGATAGATAGATAGATAGATAGATAGATAGATAGATAGATAGATAGATATGAAACAATTGATACAAACAAGTACAAAGATTAGATTAGATAGATAGATAGATAGATAGATAGATAGATAGATAGATAGATAGATATGAAACAATTGATACAAACAAGTACAAAGATTAGATAGATAGATAGATAGATAGATAGATAGATAGATAGATAGATAGATAGATATGAAACAATTGATGCAAACAAGTACAAAGATTAAATTAGATAGATAGATAGATAGATAGATAGATAGATAGATAGATATGAAACAATTGATACAAACAAGTACAAACATTAGATTAGATAGATAGATAGATAGATATGAAACAATTGATACAAACAAGTACAAAGATTAGATAGATAGATAGATAGATAGATATGAAACAATTGATACAAACAAGTACAAAGATTAGATTAGATAGATAGATAGATAGATAGATAGATATGAAACAATTGATACAAACAAGTACAAAGATTAGATAGATAGATAGATAGATAGATAGATAGATAGATGAATGATATGAAACAATTGATGCAAACAAGTACAAAGATTAAATTAGATAGATAGATAGATAGATATGAAACAATTGATACAAACAAGTACAAAGATTAGATTAGATAGACAGATAGATAGATAGATAGATAGATAGATAGATAGATAGATAGATAGATAGAAACAGCTAATACAAGCAGATACAAAGATGAAATAGATAGATATTAAACAACTGATACATACAGGTACAAAGATAGATAGATAGATAGATAGATAGATAGATAGATAGATAGATAGATAGATAGATAGATATAAAGAGACTGAAACAGAGAGAGAGAAACAGAGAATGAGAGAGAGAGAGAAAGAAAGGAAGGAAGAAAGAAAGAAACTATATATAGGCAAATAGACACAGAGTGAAACCAATTAGATTGTCCCATTGAAAAAATATCTTTTCCTTTTTTCTAAGCTTCACTATATTTATAAGCCAAAAGTAGATTTGTTTTCCTACTTATTTCTTTCTCTTAATTTATATTCTCAATTTTTATCTTTTTATGTTTTACTTTCTCGGTTTGTTATTTTTTCCTTGTTTTATTTTTCTTCTTATTTTGTTCTTTATTTAAGTTCTGCCAAGAAGGAACAAATTTTTGCAGAGTTAAAGCACAAAAAACATTTTCAAATTCAGAATATTCTATGACTGTCTTTTTTTTTTCTTTTTCATTATTTAAATTTTTTATGCTTCTATGGCTTTAATTTTCTTGTTTTTCATATTGTTGTGCTTGTTTGGAAATATTTCAATTTAAATCAATATCTTTCTGACCTTTCAACTTTTGTCCATAAATTTTTACCATTCAAGCTAAATTTTTCTGCTACAGATCAGAATGTATGAACAAGTTGAACTTGGCTGACATAAATATCATCAACCTTCTGGTTTGTTTTGAAATGAATGTGTTTTCCCATTTCTCCAGGCATTCATGGACTTTCCTAAACCATCTTCCACATTATTTTTATTACAATATTTTGCATTATATTTGTCCCTCATCTAAAAGATCAATGGCAAATAATGGCATCATTTAATAAAAAAATGTGACTTAGAAATCCAAGAGTGCTTCTTTCTTCTATGTACCTTGCCCCTTCAGGACATTGGTGATCATGGCTCTCCACAATCTTCTGTCCATTCTAGCTCTTAATAAATTTTGTCTTTTTGTTATTGTCTTTCCATTTTACTCAATCAATTCTAGGTTGGTTATGTGTTGTTTTCCTCTATCTATCTTGCCTTCACTATGTCCTGTATCAAATTCTGCAAGCCTTCTTTCCTCATTACGTGTCCAAGAAATTTCAACTACTTCTTGATGTTAAGTATAAGTATCCTCTTTCTTTCCATTTTCTCTAAAATTGTATTGTTGCTCATATATTTGGTCTATGGTACTCTCATCATCCTTCTGTAGAACCAAATTTCTGTTGCTTCAAATCTCTTCTTCAGCTCCTTGGAGACTGGCTAGCATTCACTGCCATAGATGAGGTCTGATATTGTATAACAATACAGTACTCTTTTCTTTGTTTCTAATGAAACTTTCATGTTTCTTAATACTTTGCTTAGCTTTTGGAAATCATCTTTCACTATCCTAATGTACCTTCAGATTTCAGTGTCACACTTTCCATCCTCTGTTAAAACACTTCCCAGTTATTTAAAATGTTGTGCTTGTTTGATTTTGGTATCTTCAATTTGTAATTTGTATGTTGGCTGTTTCTTTTTGCTAACAACTATACATTCTCTCTTCTTACAATTGATGGTTAGTCTTTTCTTCTTACTTTCCTTCACTACCTTTTCTAAGAGTTCTTGAACAGAAGATATTTCAATGTAACTAAACTCATAGTTACTTTCGTTTCTTTTGTTCAATTCCTTAAACAACACCTGACATCAGTAGTGGAGTCAATTCAATTATAAACAAATTTGAGTACAGTTGCTTATCAATGAGTTCCATATTAAAAAAAATTGGCTTTAAGGTTAAATTTCTAACATTTATCAAGAATTAGTACACAACTTGCTGAAATGATAGCATAGATAATTTTTGTTTTTATGTTTGGGTCTAATAAATAAAATGCAAGACATTTCAATCTGATGTAATAGGTTTTTCTCTTTTCTTTCATATTTTTTATTTTTTTGAGTTTCCTCAGCCACACTGATGTCAGTAGTTGCTAAAGATTTGGTTAAATTTGAATTCTTCTTTTATGTGATATTTCCCTTCAGGACGTAGGCGATCATGACCCTCCACATCTTCCTATGCCTTGTAGCTCTTAATAAGTTTTTTCTCTTTGTTAATTCTCCCAAATCCTGTTCTAACATCCAATTACTCAACCTCATTAAGTATGTTGACCACTGCTTTCTTCTGTCCCTCTTTCCCTGAATCTGCCCTGTGAGTATCATGTTTTCCAGGCCCTCCTTCCTCAGTACATCTCAATTCCCTCTTCCTCATGTTAAGTATGTTTTCTTTTTGTTTCCATTTTCTCCAAAACCTCACCATTGCTCACATGTTCAGGCCATGGTATCCTCAGCATCTTTGTGTAGAACCACATTTCTGTTGCTTCAAGTCTCTTCTTCATCCCTGAGGAGATTGTCCAGGTGGACAGATACCACATAACAGTTCAGTACATTTTTTTGTTTCTAATGAGATTCTTTCTATCTCTTAATACTCTGCTTAGCTTTTGGAATGCATCTTTAGCCATCCCAATGTCTTCAGATTACTGTTGCTTATAAACAAGTTGCATACAAAGACATAGCACCATAAAATAAAAATTTGGAAGGCTAAATAAGATGTTAAAAGTTGGGTGGGATGGAATTAGATGTTAAGTTTTAAAATTCTTGATTTTATATTTTTTAACTGATCCTCTTACAAAAAAAAAAAAGAAATTAAAGATATTTTCCTACCATAAACATTAGTTTTGTCTCAACTTGAAATACACATTTTTTTGTTATTCACTTGTACTTGTCATGGACAGTTAGTAACATTGTGTGTTTCTGTTGGGAAAAACACATCTAGAATACCAACAACAAAAATTGTGGACTCATTATGCGAGTCCACATAAATAAATGGAAAGAAACAACAAGGACATATATATATATATATATATATATATATATATATATATATATATATATATGTACAAACAAATGATAATGTATTAACAAGAAAGGTATACAAGTGACAAAGACAATGATGTGTGTAACAAAAGAATGTGAAAACCTTTTTGGTCCAAAGGATGTGAAGTGAGTGAAATGTGTGTATTTACGTGTGTGTGTGTGTGTGTGTGTGCGTGTGTGTGTGTGTGGTTTGTTCATGTGTTTCCCAATGGGAAACCTGTTTTCCCACAAGAGACTTACATGTTGATGTGTAAACAAGAAAAGTAAAAAAAAGAGTGAGAAAAAATATTGCAGAGTATTTATAGTCTGGACAGCCTCCCCCTGTAGTGGTTTCAGGAAAGTAGGTGCAGTTAACTCCACATACTTATTCTTCTGCAAGAGACCTAAAGACTTTTTTTCTTCATATAAGACTTATATAGAAGTTTTATAAGCTTATGTTTCAGAAAATAAAAAAAGATAGAAGTTTTCTGATTTATTTTGAAAATTTATGGCAGTAATTATTTTAGACAAATGGCATGGCTCAGCTCAATAGCATTGTCATAGACTTAGGCCAAGAAGACAAATTTTGTCTTTGTTTAGTTTTCAGTTCCAACAAAAACTATTGAAGCTGACGCCTACCACCAGCTCTCCCTCAAGCAACAGTGAATAAATATTTATCCTCAGAAAACAATCATCAAGAAACTTTATTTACATGAACTTAGCATATTAACTTCAGGCAGTTCCTCTGCATGTACATAAACATATTTCTATAAGGATATCATAATTACTTCTCATATTTTCAGCACATTTTCATTAATGATAAATAATACAATAAAATATCATTAATTTCTAATCAATATCTTTGGGTTTTATTCACTGATGAAAAACTTTATGACTAATTATGAGTAACTACACATTTAATATAGGGTAAGGGTAATCGTAATCATAATATTAACCATTTCCTCATAAGGAAACATTTGACATTCATTAACCAAACAACTCATGCTACCATCAGTTGAAATTTATAAAACCTTTGTATTAAAATAATTTTCCAGGGAAATAGGTTTCTCAAGTCCACTAACTGTTATCACTCTTTCCAGTATTGATGGGGGTTTCCTTCCTAATATTTTGTTTGAAGTAATGTGGAATGTCAACATTATGATTATCTCTTTAAGCTAAATGTGCTGCTATCTGTTTTACTTGTTTCTTCTGTTGAAAGTCCTCAAGTAATATGGTTTCTGTTATTTGGTTCTGTTTTTTGTTTGTGATTCTGTAGCATCAGCCCACAAGCTTAGTCATCACCATGGTGAAGGACTCATCCAAACAATTACCATTAAATGATTAATAGAAAAGGAACAGTGAAGCTACATTATGGCAGTGAGAAAATGGATGAAACTGAGTATGCTAGTCTAGTGTTTAGTTGGAAAACACTTGTCTCCTGGTATATTTATCCTACAACAAAAATGGCCAACTTGGAATGTGAGTCTATATATATATATATATATATATATATATATATATATATATATATATATATATATATATATATATATATATATATATATATATATGAAGAAATAGTTTTAAGGTGTGCTATATTTATGGGATAAAGTCCTCAATATCAGAGATAGGACATATGTAAATATAAAAGTGAACATCGAAGTCAACACTCACAGGTGACAGACTGTTTCATGCTAGACACAATCTTCAGGCCTGTCTGATAATTACACCTAGCATGAAACAGTCTGTCACCTATATATATATATATATATATATATATATATATATACAAATGATAATGTATGAAGGAACAAAACAAGGGTATACATAGACAATAGAAGATTGTTACATGTTACAAAACAATGAATATAAAAGAGGAAAACATTTAAACTGGTCAATGTGTTTGTGTAGAAGTTATTGTAATAAGCATGTGAGATAGACACGCATGTATATATGAATGCAGGTGAGAGAGTTCAAAAGTCAACAGAGGACCAAGCATTCTTATGTACGTGTGACCTACATCTTACCATCCCTTGGTGAAATAGGAAAAAGAGGTTGACAGAGAATGTTACTGCCTGTTTATAGACTTAGGGAGTGTCCCCTAGCAACGTTTTTTTTTTTGGGAAAGTAAGTGGAGTAACTCAACAGACACCAGGTCAGGACCAATAATATTACTGATCCTTCTTTGCATTTTATCAAGAATCTCTCTATATATATAGCAGGAGTATCAGACCATATGAAGATTTTTTTAATATAGCTTAGATGTGGCA